GTACTCAATAGTTCTCTCTCCGAAGCAGACTTATTGAGCAGAGTTGTTGCACTCAGTGGGTCTATTTTCATGCAAGCATTTGCAGGATTAGGATCCATGTGGCTGAACTCTTAATTCTGAGAGGTGCTGCGCATTTTAATCCAATTCACCAGGGTAAATCTGCAGGGTAGATTCACCAGGGTAAAACTGCAACTGGGATTGAGACTCCCAGCCCAGGTATACCATCTTGTGGTAATAGGGCTTGCTTTAGTGTGCTAAAAATAGCAGCGTGGACACTGAAGCTCAAGTAGAGGCTTTGGCAAGCCACTGGAACTGGTACTCTACATTGTCCACCTGCTATTTTTAGCATTCCAGGATTAACCTCACTACCATAAGTCTGTATACCCAGGCAGAGAGGCTCACTCCTAGCTGAAGTAGAGATATATCCTTAATGGATATTTAAAGTTATGTGCTTATCATGCATAAATGCTTTGTTGGATTAGGCTTGCAGGATTGAGCCCAAAATAAATAACCATGTGATGTATGGCCTCTGTCTTGTCTGTCTGAATGCATCACTTGTACTCTACCCCTTCACCAATCTCCACTGACATAAAGTCTAATACTTCACATCTCTGAGTAATGTCAAAAATCTTCAATCAAAAACTGAACTTGCTACAGAACATTTGCTTTCCCACAAAAGCTTGCATTTCACTGCTAAAATTAGAGAATTTATTGTCCAGTAAAGACAATATTCAGTTCTAAAATAGTGAATAGTCATTGGTTTTTGGCTTGTGGGGTCTTTTTCTGGCTCCACAAAGTGAAACCTTCATACCACTGAAAAGGGGACTCCTCATAGTTTCCCAATGACACATAAATAAGATGCAAGGAAGGTCCAAAGATATAGGACTTTAAAGTTGTGATGTTTTAATGAGCACACAGAAAAACTATTTGATGTGTTTGGTGTTTAGATTATAAATTATTTTGTCTGTTAGTCTACATTTGTACCAAAATTAGCATAACGGGGCCAAATCCTGTTGGTTCCTAGACACTAACATGAAAAATTAAGAAAAATAATTGTTAAGATAGTCCACTTATGTGTATACTTCTTCCACTGGCGTCTGTAGAATGGACTTATGGTACTAAGAGAACCAGCATTCACAGGTGGAGAGACATAAAATGTTTTCAATTTTTTGTAACAAATTCAAATATTTCTAAAATATTTCCCTAAATATGTAGCATAAACATAATTGGCTACGTCTACACTGGCCCCTTCTCCGGAAGAGGCATGCTAATTTCGAACTTTGGAATAGGGAAATCCACGGGGGATTTAAATATCCCCTGCGGGATTTAAATAAACATGGCCGCTGCTTTTTTTCCGGCTTTGGGAAAAGCCGGAAAGGAGCGTCTAGACTGGTGGAGGGGATATTTAAATCCCCCGTGGATTTCCCTATTCCAAAGTTCGAAATTAGCATGCCTCTTCCGGAGAAGGGGCCAGTGTAGACGTAGCCAATATGTGGTGGGATGTGATGGATAGAGTAATTTGGGATGATTGATAGCTTTGTTATTATTAAATCACACTGCCATCTCAAATTTATGCCAATAAAAGCTGCCATCGTGTTTATCTAGTCATAGACCACACTCATCTCTGTGCTACATATTCAGAAGTCAGAAGCAACAATAAATGATAGAGTGGGGTGGTGAAAAAAATGTGCCAAAATAATGTGTGAGTTACATAGTTTCAGTCCAAATGAGTACTAAAAAAATCTAACCAAAGGATAACATGGTTTATCCCCTTATTCTTTTGGGTGAGCATGGAACCCATTATAGAGTCGTTTTTTGATGTTCTATAAAAGCAGGTGATTGGTGTTGGGGATTGTGTGGACTCTTGCATCCACATGAAAAAATTGTCCCCAGCTGTAATGGAAAAGGATATTCAAAGTCCATTAAAATAAGCACAAAATATACAATGATACTATGTTTGATTTCCCAGTGTGCAATTCTCTAAGAAGTAATAAATATAATGGTTTTCGCATTTACAAGTGCTCCATAAGTCATGTGTGAAGACCTGTCAGTCCCACAGTGTATGATTCAGGATGCCAGAATTTTCATTGAAGCGCTCTCAATATTTAGCACAGGGTAATGTACACTGCTCTTTCACCCCCCACCCTTTTTATATAAGATACAAATATGAGCTATCACAGGTAACATACAAATACAAACTTGAGCTTCTGTTCATTCAACTACTCAGAGTAGCTCCCTGTAGCTAAGGAAATGATTTTGCCCTTCGTTTTTAGGTTGCCCTGAAGGAAAATTAATAAAGGTATGTTTCATGTTGGCTTTTAGCATACATTTTTTGTGTTAAAGACATATTCATTTTGAATTTAAGCACTCTTGTCAAGAGTGTTATATAATGTTATATAATAAAATGTAACTTGGAAGAGGAAATGAGTGATTAGAGAAGTATACTGTGCAATTGCAATTTCTTCATACGATCACATTTCTGGCTAGAAATATTGTATTG